TGATCACACAGGCTGGTGTGCTTCTTCCATGTGGGCTTTGTTGCTTCTCAGCTAGATGGCCGCTTGTTTATCTTCAAGTCTTTAAGATCCCAGATGCTATATCTTTTGATAGCCAGGCACCATTAGCTTTCTTTTTAAATTATTATTATTATTAATCATTTTATTGGGGGCTCTTATAAATCTTACAACAATCCACCATTCAATGTACATATGTACTTTTGTTGACATCAATATATCCAAAACATTTTCTTTCTACTTGAACCTTTGGTATCAGCTCCTCTTTTTTCCCCTCCCTCCCCCACCGTCCCACCCTCATGAATCCTTGATCAATTATATATTGTTGTTATTTTGTGTCTTATACTGTCCATTGTCTCCCTTCACCCACATTTCTGTTCACCATTAGCTTTCTTTACCACATTTGCTTATGCACTCATTTTGACATGACGTGTTCTTATAGGTCATTTTGCCCAACCCCCTTGCTAACCAGCAGGGGGGAAAAAAAACCATCAAGACTCCAAGAAGTTATAAGTGAATTGTTTAGGACCAATCAAGAAGTTATAGTGAGTTGTTTAGAATCAATCATACAACAAGTTACTAGTATATCCAAGATGAAATTCTAGATGTTTTTATGTCCATCCCAGCATCTTTTCAAAAATCAAGTGCCCTTGCTTGAAAAGATTTTTCAGTGATAAAAGTTCTTTGATAGCCCGAGAGTGACTCCAAAGAAAAAATGCATGGATGTTCTTCTAGTCACACGATTTTTAAGTTTATTCAACTATCTAGGAATACCAATACTTATAATAAATCAAGAATGGATTTTTTTTTTTAAAAAAAGACTTCTTGAGCTATGCCTATAATTAGAATGCGATTTCCTATAAAGCTACTAATAATAAAAGCAAGATGCCGCCCCCAAATAAAAACATTAATAAATAAAAACTAAAAAATCAAGATCCCAATATATTAACCAATCCCAAATATTTTACTGTCAAAGATTTAAAAGTAAAAATTGGATTTGAAAAGCAAAATGTTTGCATCAAATCAATCAACTACATAATGCATTGGTTGGAGTCCCTGTAAGAAAAAATGAGCACTAGTGGTTTAATGGTTAAGCACTAAAAGATCAGAAGTATGAACCCACCCAGCCATTCCACCAGAAAAAGATGTGGCAGTCTGTCTCTGTAAAGGATTTACAGCCTGGGGGCATTTCTACTCTGTCCTATAGGGTTTCCGTAAGTCAGACTCAACTCAACAGCCATTGGTTTGGGCTTGGGCTTGGTTAAGTAAACAAACAAACAAACAAACAAAAAACTCCCTTCTCCCAATTAACCTATTCGGCAAAGCTTTCCTGTTATACACTTTAAGATGCATCCCAATTTTCAACTATTTTTTTCAGTTGTCTTAGAATCAATAAAACACAGTATTCAAATTGATGACCATCAAAGACCTTTTTTATGACCCTCTGATATACATATATTTGAACTATTTCCCTAAGTTATTCCATCCCAGTCGTCCACATTAGGCAGTCAGCTCTTAGAAAATAGCAGCCATATCTTTTTGGTCATACAAAACACACAGGGACAGATACGATTTACCTGACGAGCGTAGGAGGGCTCACTGTTCTCAAAAGCATTATTTGCTCCTTCATTAACTCTCCTTACCATGAAGAGGCCACTGTAACTCTTGGTCCTCTAGAAGAGCAGCAGCTGGCAGGAGTCTATTAAGGCAATCAAGAGGTGGCAGCAGATCTAGGAGGTAACTCAACAGAGGCCGAGCCACTGACACTGGGAGCAACAGCAGGGAGTTAACAATCTGGCACAGCATACTGCCTGCAGCAGAGACATATATCACATCTAGGAAAGATGAGAAATGTAACACGAATTAAGTGTTTCAAGCAAATTTAAAAAAGAACGAACCCAAGACAACATTTTTGCCTAGAATCAAACGTATTCAACAACTCTCAGTTGCACACTGTTCCTAGTAGCTCATATGGTATTAGATTTAATTATTTTTTGACAGTGCTACCAAGAGACAATTTGTGGAAAAGCATACATGCTGTCCATGTCAACCAATTTCAACTTCCTTAAAATGCATTATGAGTTTCTCATTCACAAATTTATCCTCGTTTTAAAATTTACACAATAAATATTTACTAAATGACTACAATATACTCGGCACTGATACAGGTGAAAGTGAAGGGTATTTAGCCATGAACCATGCAGAGAAAAGTCTTGCCTTATACTTATTATATTTGAGTGGGGGGCACCTTTATTTTAAAACCAAAATTTACATTTTTCCCCCCTAAGATCACCTTAATAGATCTGTCTTTTTATTATCTGTATTGGCTTTAGATTGGCAATTTTGCTTCAAATCCTTTTTTTAAAAAAAGAAAAGCAAAAATATCATTTTAAATTACCTTGACAGCATTACCAAACCACAATAGTTTCAAACTATTCATATTTTTAACCAACATCAACTTTGTGGTAGATACTGTATTAGCACAGGTTACATAGTGAAAGGACAAGACCCTAACTGAGACCCTCAGAATACCTGCTATCACCCAGTGAGGTACACAGACAATTAGCATCAGGTGATTCGAATCCATTTCAGATAGGACAGAATGCAGGGTGACATGGGAGAACACGATGGATGCAAACCAAGCTTTGGGATCAAGGTTTTCTGTTCAAGGCTCCAGTAAGATGCTAAAGCAGGATTTTCCGAGCAGTTTCTACGGAGGTTGTATGGGGTGAGGGACCCTGTGGTGCCTATGTAAACCTGAAACTTCTTCTAACTCTCATAAGACTCATTTGAATCACACACACACACACAAAAACAGGATGCTAAAGCAAGGTCTAAGCTAAGACCTAAAGAAGACCCACAGAACAAGTAAGACCACATCCTATCTATCCTGAGACCACAGAACTTGACGGTGCCCTGCTATTACACTACCTACTGTGCTGACCGCTAAAAGAGTGGGAGAAAAATGTGGAACAAAGAGCAAATTCTTAAAGAAAAAAAAAAAATCCAGATGTACTGGACTTGTAGCAGAGGAATCCCAGAGAATGTCAGCCTGAGACAATTAAAATTTAAATTTGGAATTGAACCATTCCTGGAGGACACCTTTCAGCTACATATCAGATTGAATCACAAATAAAAAATGTTATGACTATTGAGCTCTTAAAAAAAAATCGCCTACATGAGATCAAATGGCCAACATTACCATAAAACAAAATTTGCGGGATGAGGGCTAGAAGCGAGCGCAATGGAAACAGAATAAATAAATAAATAAAATGTTTGACACATTGTAAAAAATGTCACAAATGTCACTGAACTATATGTAGAGAAACTGTGAAATGCAAGCCTTATTTGCTGTGTTAATTTTCACCAGAAACATGTTCTTTAAAAAGAACAGGTAGAGTTATTTTTACTTTCTAGACACAAGTGTGCACATATGTGTTAACAGCAAAATATTTAAGGACATGAAAGAGTTTGTAGAAGTCCTTTGAGAAATTATAAGCTGTTCGATATACCGATAGGGGACTTAGAGAACACTGAAACAGAAATGAGGGGCCAGGTTATAAAGATGATGTACACCTAAACACAAGTGACACAGAGCAGTAGCATAAAGAAGGGGCACAAGTACTAAAGGGGCTAAGGAAACAGAATCAATGGTGTTTGGGGGAATTGCAGATGAAGGATATTTGGTTAGTTTTATTGCTTTTCTTAGTATTTCGTGGTAGGGAGGACCATCGAGAAATGAGCTCTTTGAATGCATTAAATTGTAGTTGCTGAAAAATAGCCAGAGAAGAAGCGGCTTTAGGTTTTTGATGTCTTTTCTTTCTTCAGCAGAGAACTTCAGATAGACATACTGAATAGACAAATTAAAATTTCAGTTGCCTTGGGGAAAGTATACACAGCAAATAACCAAGAAAAGGACACTCAGTGAAAGGCTCTAGTGGTACGAAACAGAGGTCTCAGCACTATGCAGATGTTGGAGAAGCACTGGGCATATGCATGCTTAAAGAAACTAGGGAGATCAGCTAGGGAGAATAATAGAGTTGAAGGCAAAGTCCAGAGAATGCTCAATACTAAAGGACATGTCCAAAGAGGGACTTACCCAAGTATTTTAATTCCCAGAAAGATTTCAACTGGACTCGTCTCCATAGTGCCGAAATGTCATCAGGTAACCTGGCTGAATGTTTTTTTAACCTCTATGCCAGCCATCAACACCCACAGGGTGGCACCACAAAGCTTCTATATTGGGGAAAGTGGGGGGGTGGGGGGGAGTGGGGGGCGGGAGGCAGCCCCCTCACCCCAGCTCTCCTGCTTCTATATATATGCAAAAGAGTCATTAAGAAATAAAATAATGATCCCTGATTCTCAAAAACAGAGGCCTGTCAGTAGAATATCAACATCACAGCTAAGCAGACATCGAGAGAAGAGGCACTTGAGAAGAAAAGCCACAGCAAACGCTGAAGATATGTAAATTAACAGCATAGAGAATATCGCTTTATGCCATCTAAACACCGATCTTTTATATTCTTTGATATGTCTTTAAATTAGGCCTCTTTTCATGCCAATTGGAATCTTTTAATATTTATCAGAGCCATCATCATTACCACTAACGCCAAACCAAGACTGAAGGGATCTTCATTGGAATGGAGACTCACGAAGATCATTCTTATTCCACTCAGACTTCATGGCCTCTTCAGGCTTTGGAAAGGCTACAGGTTTTTGCTTTCCAATCACTGATTAAATCCAATACCACACACCTCTTAATTTTCCTCCAACGCTGCCATTCCAAGGACTTTCTCTGAGCAAATTTGAAGAGCGTAAATAAATATCTGTGGCATGAGGCAACAGGAGCTGAAGGTGCTTATGAAGCAATGCCACACTGCTTGAGTTCTGAGGAGGGAGAAAAGTTGCCTAAATTACTATTTTGAAAGATTCAAAGTATACGGATATAATGGTATCCCCAAATACCTGGACCCTGATAAACATCCCCAAATATTTAAGAACCGATAAACCACCATAAGCCGCAAAGAATCCAATACCTCACTAATGTTATTGATGTGGCAAAAAGCCAACAGCTGTTTTTGAAGAGAACACAGCAGTTCGTGCAGGTGCGCGGGCTGACTGTTCTCTGATGACGACGCTCCAAGTAGAAATTTATCACTATTCTTTTCTAGCTCTCCAAACGCTTGATCCTATAACGCATAAAGGAAGACTGTATCTGAAGTGTTTAAAGAGGAAAAACAAACACAAGATTCTGACCTAAGAAGCCATTGTCCTCCGCCCATTGTCAATTTTAAAATCTTTGCTATGATCTTAGTGTCATTTCCTACTAAGTGGTAAGATCTATCAAGCAGTTGCTTAATTATTATAACACAACTACATTAATACCAAAAAAATTAAGTAAATTTCTGAAATAAATCTCTTTGGAATTCTGAAATAAATGTTTTTTGGCCCACACAATCTTCCAGAAGATTTTCTAAGTCCCCCTTCCCATTTTTTGGGTGGGGTGGGGTGGGAGCAGTGCAGTGCAGTGCGAGACAGGGCTTCATTTGTCTCTTTGAGTACTTAAATGTGAAATACCTAGAGACTTGCAAACATTCCCACTCCTTCTATAAAAAGTGCTTTACTTTTTTTTTGTTTTACTATAATGAAAAACAACTTACTGTATAAAATCCTAAATTTCTTAAGAGAGTCTTCATCAAAATTTCAGCCAGATGGGTATCTGGATAGCAGCTCTGAGTGCCATACGGCTGATCTGCCAGGTTTCCATAGCTAGTACACACAGATGAGAGGTCAGCAGCATCAGCGGGTGAGCTATAGCCAAGTAAGGAGGCTACGTGGGTGTGATCTTGCAAACTTGTCAGAATGATATCCAGTTGCATTCTCTAAAGAAAAAATATTTCCATTGATGAAATAGGAGTAGGTAAATAATCAGCCTAAAATGAATAGACAAAAGAAATGGGAGAATCCTAGGAAAAAATCTAAACTTATATTAACTACTCATTTTTTCTACTGAGTTGAGCAATAGATATATATATATATAAGATATTAAAAATGGAAATATAATCAAATACTTTTACATAAACCGTTTTAAAAGTAAAAACCTTTTTGTATAAGCAATTTCAGACAAAGTTCTGGGCATCAAACAAATAGCAGGGCACATCTTGACTTCAACCCAGCATACTACAAATAAGTCAAAGGGTCTCTGGTTTGATACTGAAAGGATTATTAGAAATTTTATAATTTTAATATTAGCTGAAAATCTTTTAATAAATCATCCCTTGCTTTACCCAGAGTTTTCAGAAATCTAAGAACTCTCTCAGCATGTAACATTAAATAAGTAGGATTTAACAGATCCATCAAGTATTACGTGATGAGTTGATTAGCTTTATTTACTTGTGAGAGAGGGAGTGGGATTACTGTTTGCTTAGATGCCACTCAAAGGCATACCTGTCCTTTAGATAAGCTTTCCCATCTGTCAGGTCCTTGAGGTAAAAGAGAATGAAGTAATTCCATCCGTTCTCGTAATGGAGGTAATAACATGGTTGCTCCCACTGACAGAGTTTCAATTACTACCTAAAATCAAAAAAGAAGAGTAAATGTACGAGCCTGGTTCTTTCTTGGTAATAAAAACACACAAACATAAATTCACATCCTGAATAAAGGGGCATGTGAGAAGAAAAAAGAAAGCATGCAAGTTCTTCTTTGGAAGTCCTTAAGAAAAATACTAAGACAGGTATATTTTCATCTAGAAATTTCTGTGTGGCAATAATAATGTCTCCCTTTTAATATTGATTTTAGTAATTTTGGTCAGACTATGTCACTTTGATTTTAAAATAACTTATGTTTTAGTGGTTTTTCTCAATTGTTTTTCTATTCTCCAATTCATTTGTTTCACTCTAATATTTATTCTCTTTTCTGATGCTTGCTTTGAGTTTAGATGCACCTTCTCTTTCTAATTTCCTAAGTTGAGATCTTAATGATTTAAGATGATTCCTATTTTTTAACATAGGCATTAAGCATTGCTATCAAGTGGATTCTGACTCACAGAAACACTAAATAGGGTTTCTGAGGTTGTAAATCTGTCCAGGAGCAGACAGCTTCATCTCTCTCCTGCAGAGCAGATGGTGGGTGTGAAGGTCTGACCTTTTAGCAAACAGTCAAATGCTTACCCATCAGGCTCCTTCCAATTGCTGTAAATTTTTCTCTAGCACTGCTTCTGCTACAGTCCATTAATTTTGATATGCTGTGTTTCTAGCTTCATTCTTCTAAAAGTATTTTTAAATTCCCTTCATGACTTCTTCTTTAACCAATGGTTATTTAGGATTGTGCGAGTTTTTTTGTTTTGCTTTATATTGCAAAAAATAAGTTTTCCCCTAAATTTCCTCAAATTTAATATTGTAATAAATATGTTAATTATTATTATAACTATTATAAACGAATCCTTTTAACATTAAAGTTGTATTGATGTTATATTATAAATGTGTTAAATAACATGAAATAATCAGGCTTCTATCCCTGGCCTCTTATTCCTCTGTGAAGTCAACTTTTCTCCCCTAAATTTGCATGGCTAGTAGATGGTGCAAACCACTATTCTATCAACTGTGTGCATGTGCAACAGTTACAGATGCACGTAACACTGAGTCCTTGCCTTCAAATCCACCATCTGGTGGAAAAGACAGACATGCTTACATACTGTCAACTACAATAAAGTGCGAAGCCATGAGACCATGGCTAATGTGATGGAAAGACAGGTAAAGAAAGGTTTCGTAGAGGTATCAAATGAACTTTCTTTTGAAGGATATGTTAACTCCAAAAAAGATATTCCACCAAGAAAATAGAAGTAAAGAGCATTGGACTGAAGGTGTGCAATGCATAGTTGAATATACGAGTTATAATACCTCAAGGAAAGAAGTAGTTTGAGTTACAGACTCGCAACTGCTATAGTCTTACCTCCTGGATTTCATCTGGGACAGTTGAGTCCATCAGTCTGAAGAGCAAATTTCTAAGTGGACCTGCCTGCCTCCCAAGAATGCTGGTAGCTACCCCTCCTGCAAGCGCAAGAGCAAGGTGATTTGAAAGCAGCTTCAGGCACAGCTTGAGGAAATTGTGGTGTTCCCTGAAACCAAATAAAAGGCTGTGAGTTTTTCTAATATAAAAGAGCAAGTGTTACTCAGTTTGAATAACCATTTTTCTCTTTAGAAATTTTGTTGAGTCCTGACCAAGAATAACGTTTAAAGCCTGATTTGTAACATTGAGTATAACTTTCTCTAAAGGTTATTATCAGTAACTAAGTTGAGCTCGTTTTTTTAGAATGTAGAGGAGTATTGTTCCACTGGGGGTGGGGGCGGTGGTAAATAGTAACGACTAAAAGTAGCAGTAAGTACAAAACAAGTAGCTAATATACACACATGCACCCACACGTGTAACACGTACCTTGATGAAGGAAAAGGGAGTGGAGGGATTTCACTGTTTATTTTATCACAGTATCTCTCAAGAAAGGAACGCAGGTGTGAAAAGGTACTCTCTTCAAGGTCTACACAATAAGGTCGGTGCCATGCAACAACTTGTCTAGAAGAAAGAATAAGAAAATCATGAAATAGTCCTAAAATGAAAATTTCACACAAGATGACATTATTAGATTTCAACAGGATACACAAAGACCTCCTTGATTATGAAGGAGATGAAATCTTTTACTTTGGCTACTGAAAGAAGCCAAGAATTCACCATCCGCACAGTTCTTCAAGAACCTGTTTCAGAAAATTTGGATATTCACTTACCTGAAGGCAAATGAAATGATCTTTAAAAAAAAAAAAGATCCAGTTGCCTCTTTTCCTTTAAGAAACAGATTTCCACACACAAAGCAACCACTTTAGGTTATAATTATGGTCACTATATTGTTTTGTTTTCCAATAAAACCAACCAGATAAAGGGCACTGAGATAATCAAGTACTTAAAAAAAAATAAAAGTGAGCTCTGATTTTGATTATTTCAATTCATTCTTTCCTTTGATACGCAGACATCTTCCTTTTTCTGTGTCTTAAATTAAAAAAGTTTACAAGGAAGTTAAATTTTTTAAATGTGTTTAAATATAGAGTATAATTTCCTGCCTTAAGAAACATCTTTAATTTTCAACATTCAAATAAAAGGAAATCTAGATGTCATTTCTATAATACTGAAAAGAAATCAATACTAGAAATGCTCATGAACAAAGTATGGTTATTTGTTTTGTTTTTTCCAACAGTTTTATTGATATATACCATACAAGGTAGACCATACAATTCAACAGATTAATCACATTCGTTATTTGTTTCTATAGATATTTGTTGTAATTAAAACTTGAAAAAATTTTCAAGTGGCCACTCTCACCTGTCCCTAGGAAGCGCAGTCCATGCCAGGCTATGTGATGTTCCAGCTGAGATCTGCTGAATTGCTATGCCATCTAAGCCACTCACTTTCTTTGGTTTAGTTATAGGGCCGGTGGAATTTCCTTGGCCACATTGTCCCATAGAGTTATTGCCCCAGGCATAAACTTCATTATCTACAACAAAACCCAAAGTGCCAAAGCAAAGGCAAATTTAAATGGAATACATTTTGGGAACTCATGGCTAATATTATTTCCTTAAAATCAAAAAGGACGTTTACCATGAGAAAGGGCTAAACAATGACTGTCTCCAATAGAAATATCAACGATTCTGGTGGCAGCCAGGTCTTCAATAAGCTTGGGTCTCAAGGCAGTAGCTTCTGAAGAACCACAACCCAGACACGCTCCACAACCCCACGCATAGACCTGAAATACAAACGGAAATACAGCACACAATTTCCTGAGACCGTTTCGTGATGACTGAAATTGTGTAGAAAAAAGTATAACCTATCAATCAAGCAAACAAGAGAATGGTATAATTCTAAATAACTTTTTTTGTGTTAAAATGAGAATTACTGTTTTGATCATTTTATAGATTGTCACAGGGATTTATTTTGTGCTTTTTTCCCCCCAACCTATCTGTCCGAGTTGTGCCTTTTCATAGTGGAGCTTTTTCCCTTGGGAAACTCATTTCCCAGAGCTAGTGAGCGAAGTGTGAGAACGCGGTAACTCCTGGCCATGATGCTGGGGCTTGGTATACCTATCAAGTCACGTGTAAAACAGTAAAGTTAAATAAAATCTCAGGGACAAGCGAGGCCACCAGGTGTACAGGGAGGGGTCTGCGGTGGGCGGAGCCTCCATCACGAGGGGGCGGGGCCTCATCATGGAGGGGCGTGGCGGGGGTGTCCCTGAAAACTGTAGCTCACCCAGGCCTCCTCAGACTCCAGTGCTTTGCGCCTCCCGATTGGTGAGAGACTGGGGGACGCCCCGCCTGTTGCAGAAATTGCTCCCACATATTTCTGTTTTGCCTTTGCCATGCCTCACTATTCCTGCTTCCTTCGGTCAGGCTCCCCCGCAGCTGTCACAGCCACATGCTCCCTCCACAGCCCCCCCGCAGCCTAGCCGGACTCCCACCACAGGCGGCTCCGCAGTGAAGGAGAGGCGATGGGAGCGCTGGGGTCACGTGGGAAGCTCCCGCCCATCTATTTTGTGCTTTTTTCAATGTCCCAAAGACATGGGCCCCGACTGACACAGACCTTGCCCTACTATCTATTTGAGGAAGTGTTGTTCAACTCACTGCCAGTGTTTAATATGTGACTTTTGTTGGTTTTCTCAGCATTCACTTAACAATTATTATTAACAACTAACAAGCAAAAGAATATTTGACCATTTTTTAAAAAATTAAAATCAAAAAATTATCTTATATGGCCATTTGTAGGCAAAGTAGAAATCATTACCCCTCTTCATATGAAGGAAGTATGTAAGGTTCAAGGAACAGCTGGTGTGTCTGCAGACAAAGAGCTAATAAATAAGCATTTTCTGACTTCAATGTATGGGTTATCTCCATAAAATCCAAAATGTAAATGAGAAATTTTAGGTTTTAAGGCAGCAACCAGTTGTAGCAAGCATGTAATTAACATAACAAAAGGTAAGGAATAGTTTGAGTTAAATTCTTTACAGGACATAAAAAATTGTAATCTTTCAACAACAACCAAAAAAATTACATGCTAATTTCAGCTTTGGGGAATTAAGTCAGAAAACATTAGTATACAAACAAGATTGTGCCTGAAACACAATACCAAATCCAGTGCGATCAAGTCAGTTTTGAATCACTGTGACCCTATAAAAAGTTTCCAAGAATACATCTTCATCTAATCAAACTTTTCTCCCTCAGCATGAATGGTGGGTTTGAAATGCTGCTCGTGGAGTTAGTAGCCTAACATCTCACCCACCAGAGCACATAATGGGACCCCATGAAGAGTGAAAGAATGGGTGGCTAGCTTGGGTTTCTCTGTCATCACTGATTCATGCAAGGGGGAAGTTACTGTCAGCCCATCATTACATTGGGTTATATCCCTCCCCATCATCAGCCTATTGCCAATGTCCTTTAAAGGTTTTAAAATCATTTTTCTAATTACTAGCTACAAGACAGCACCAAACAAATGGGGAGGAAGTATCAAAATACTCATGTGACCATTCAAAATCTATTAAAGGGATTATAAATTCTGACTGCCCAAAACCCAATTCCTCTGTTTTATTCCATATGGAAGTGGTGTGTTCTCTTTACTCTCTTAAATGCCTCCTGACAGTCCAAATCACTGGTTCTGGCAATATCTATTTTTGCTTTCCCCACTAGCCATGATTTTTAGGAAAATGGTGTGTAAAGGGTGGTGAGTGGGAAAGGGGTTTATGAAACCATTTTAAAGACCAGGAGACTGAAGGACGGTTTATCATGGCAGTCACACAGGCCAGCACAGAAAGCTTAGTTCTCTCTCTCTCTTTAAACATTAGTAAATCTTTTATTTTGTAGGTCAGCTAAGAAAATAATTTAACTATAAATTCCAATACAACGATTACTTTTTAGTTAACTAGTCCTCTTAAATACTCTTTCTACACCTTGTATGCTCACTGCTAGTCCTTACCTGCCCTGTTGATGTCAAAGCAAGTGAAGACTGGCTCCCGGCACAAACTTTGCGAATGAACATTCCTTGTAAAGCTTCGATAACTTTAGGTTTATACACTCTGTTGGTATCACCATGGCCAAGTTTCCCTATAAAAACAAACACATTCAAATGAAAAAAAAATCATTTTTTTAAAAGTCTAGTGCTTTTCTAAGTACTGAAGTTGATCAAGTTAAAATCTTTCTATGCCTACCTGATAGATGTGGAAAGTTATAAATTTCTGATTAGAGAATGTTAATAAGTGAGCATTTCTGTTACAGGAAAAGCAACAACGAACATCCTCTGTATCTTAATTTCCAATAATTAAAATCACTTGAAAGGAGATAAGGAAAATTATTTTTCTACATGTTTCTTTGCTTTAATGATTATTATTTCTAACGTCAAATTCATTGATATAATAGAAAGGTCATAACAAGAATGTATATGCATATTATTTTTTTAACTTTTTAAAATACTCAGTAGTTCACTAGATAGAAAACTTGGCAAATCACTAAAGAAGAAAAGCAAATGGTCGACAACATATAAATTCATCCTCACAGGGAATCAAGGAAATACAAATTAAATGCCATTTTTACTTTTGAAATTACTGAAAAAGAAGTCATTAATTCTATAGGGATAGGTGCACTCTCATACTGATGGGATCGGGAGTGAGTAAAGTGGCCCAAGATTTAGCCATAAGACTACTCATTGAGCTGTTGCTTTCAATATTGAAACAATTCAAGGCTATCTAGATATTCAATATTTAGAAACAAAGTTTATAAATTGGGTCATAATCACAAGAACAAAAACTTAACAGTTATTTAAAAGAAAGAGTAGAATCATGTTTGCCATAGAAAGATAACCATAAAATACTAATAGAAAAAAGCCAGCATGTTATAAAATAATACCAATGAATACATACTGGTCCCCTGTGGTTTTTAAAAAGATATCTGTATACATATTTGTATAAGTATGTATTTTTATTTGTATAAATATATATGTTTAGAAGTCTATCAAAAGGCTAACAATGGTTATGACAACATAAACAGTTTATTATTTTCTGCTCATTTGTATGAGTGTTTTGATGATAAGCATGTATAAAAAAGAAAAGAGCTCCCAATAAGTGCACTAAGTAATTTTTACATACCATTGTCTCCTCCTCCAAAAGACCACACGGTTCTCCCATCTTTCGATAGAGCTATAGTATGTGAACTGCCACAGGAAACCTCGCCCACATTGCTAATGTCTTTTACTAATGTTGGAATATTACGGCTATTACTGTCACCATGACCTTGGATAAAACACAAACAACATAAAGAAACAATGCTGAATTAACTCTTTTTCTCTACTTTTTTCTCCTTGACAGGTAGAATAAACATACAAGTTAAAAAGACTGAGGTTCTATGATTGTGCATGTGTTTTAAAAGTACAATTAAGTATGAAAAACAGAATCATCTCCAGCATCTTCACAACCATTCTTCCCAAGCCCTTCCTAGACAGACACCCAATTCATTCAATGAACGATTAGAACTATTTTCTGTGGTCTTCTTACAGCACTTATCTTATGCTGATAGATTATAATCTAATGATTAGATTATAACTTCAGGTGGTATCTTTCCTATTCCCCAAGCCCTACATATCTCCTGCTCACAAAAGGCACTCAACAAACATATGATGGACTTAACTCAAATATTAGCACCAAAATCTAGAGTATTTAATAAGATTATCTTCCTCTTAATGACAGTCATTGGCTAGTAAATCTATCAATGCTTCTCAGTAACTGATCATTTCTATTTTTCTGTGAGTATAACTCCAATTAAAAAAAAAATCTTACCTAATCTTCCAAAGTCTCCTTCACCCCACGTGTATAATTCACCATCTTCTGTGACAGCAGCACTATGTCGATAACCAGCTGATACACAAACAACTACCTACATTGCACACAAAATGAATGTGATTAGCACAAAGAAGCTAAAGCTACAATATTTAGTCCATATTTGATCCTAATCACAGACACTTAGAGGTACTGATATCTACAATTCATCCAGGAACTGCCAAGTATGGTTGTGGAGGCTATATGTGGGACAAGTGTACCTTCCCAAGAAAGGAAGGACTGAAATACATATGGTGTTCAGCTTGCCAAGTCACGGATTCTGGCAAAGGAGTGTATCTACCTGGAGAAGACACTTCTCTTAATGTACATAAAGTCACTGCAATGGTTAACAGGGGCCCTAACTTTATCAATCAACTCTTTACTCAAAGAGTTGGAAAGAAATAAGCATCCTTGGAACAAGGTCAATTTTAAAAATATTAATATAAAACCTCCAATTCTGGCTCATTAAAAATCACTATACAATAGGAATGAGACTAAAAAGAGACTTTGACTATTAATAATACAGAAAGACCTAAGCAGAATATAAGCTTATATTAAATAAACAACTGACAATATCTTTCTTTGATAAATAGAATCACAGAGAACACGGGGATATAGCAAAATATGAGGTTCATTAACGCTTTTTAACACTGACCAACATCAATGGCTACTGAGAAAAGATAAATAGTAAAAGTGTCTACACTAATGGCTCTGCCTCTATTTAATCTCTAAAAAACAAGAATTTATTTTAAGAAATTCAACTTTTATTTTCAACTAAAAATGCTGAGCACATAATATGTGCTAGGTACTCTGTTAAGAACATGGTCATTTTAGTATGAGATTTTTCATTTAAAATTTTGTAGTTTACTTCCATATGTATACTATGCTATGTTTAACAAACTGTATTTTCATTATAAAATGTAACATAAAAATAGAAAATTACAAAGTGTTAAAATCAAGAAAGAAAATTGTTCAAGAAAGATCTAGAAAATACAATTTCAAATAGTATTTATCTAAAACTTCTTTAAATCTCCACATTCAGAATCTTATCAAAGTATCCTCTGGTGTTTTCAAAGTAAACTATCTCTAGGAACACTGCTTTGGGGTTGATATTTAAAGTTAAAATATTGAAAGTTATAATAATGTAAAATTAATTTGATAGCCCATCCTAACAGACAATCTCTCATAAAAGGAGAGTACCATACTGTAGTTCTGGAATAAAGTTAAATTTTAAACTTCACAAGATATATATAATACAATCTTAAAATGTAAGAAGCCATTTATAATTAGGAAATTATTTTTACCTCTTTCAAAAGAGGTAAGAGAGAAATAAAACATGAGAACTAAATGTAGTTCTTGGTGGTACCAACGCTTGGTGTGTGACTTTGGGCAGTTACCTGCCCATTCTAAATATCTCTTCACTCAGGTCTCTGTAAAAATGCCAGCTCCTCCAGGATCCTCCAGCTTCATGATCTAATGTCACAACATGCTTACCTCTTAAATTTTCAATATAACCATGAGAAATTATTTTGTGTGTGTTTATTATCTCTACCCCACAGATTAAAACCCCATGAGAATAAAAGTTTGTCGTGTTCACTGCTATTTGTCTAATGCCTGAAAAATGCTTGACAATTGTATGATGCAGGATAAACATTAATTGAATGAATGACTGTCAGTTTCCTTAACTGGGAAGTAATAACTATATCACAAAGTTGTTATAGGATTAAATTTAACTCATGAATTTTCTAGTGATCTAAGAAAGTGTTTCATAAACTGTAAGGATGCCAAACTATATGAGTGTGGGGGAGGGAGGGACTTCAGAAAGAACCTATCAAAATCTAAATGGCAGTGTCAATTATAGCAGTGCATCTAATTATCTTAAATTCAAAAGAGAAAGCACATACCTTTCCCTGCAGAGGGCCCTGAATAAGTTTGGGATATTTCTGTGTTGAACTATTTCCATGTCCTAGTTTCCCATAATCACCATCTCCCCAACTGAAGACTTCTCCTTCTGCTGTAAAAGCTAGAGTGTGACCATCAGATCCTTTAGAAGAGGAAACCTTTTTGATGGACCTATGAGGTTCAAAGGTTAATTTTTTTAAAGTAGATTGATTATTGGAATCTCCAAGGCCCAGTCTCCCATAGCTGCCTTTACCACAAGCTCTGACAGAGCCATCCGTAGAAATTACAAAAGTGCAATACTGTCCAGCTTCAATCTATAAGCAAACAAACAGAATCATAATCATAAAATGTTTCTGTGAGAGTCAAAGTATAATACTTTAGGCTAGTTTCATCAAGGGGAGCTCAAAGAAAGTCTTTTAAAGCAGGACACAGCATGACCCTCCATAAGAATTATGAATAAATGGAAAATTTCGAAAACTAGCTTTTCCTTGTTGACTTTATTATGAAGCTCAAATTCATTTATATCTTATCTTTTAAGGTTATCTACAGGTAATAGCGCAATGAAATGACAAAATTAAAAGCTTTGGCTTTCTCTTATTATTTACGAAGGGTAAGAAAAAATTTCACAATACATACATTCTTTAAGGTTCATTACAGAAAATTATTCTGAACCCATATGGAAAAAAATTAATGAAAACAGTAATAAAATAGGCATAAAGGTCTATCATGGCTAAAATATAGAAAAAAATTTTTTTAATTTAAATGCCAGTTTAGCAAAGAGAAAATTCTAGTTTTCATTTCTTGAAACTTAGAAGAGCTATGAGTTATGGGTAACTGAAAATATATTTTTCTATTAAAATGAAAATAGTGTTGCAGTATGGTATATACACATTGTAGATAAGAAACCTTCGATGAAGACTTTTCAATTGTTTAAAAAGTCTTAAACATTATTTAAAGTAAACATGCATAAGTACATATGTGTCATTCATAAAATATATAGAGAACTCACAGTCTGAGCATCAGAGAAACTAGGAGCCAGTTTAGGTTGTAATATTTTTTCCTGGGTGCCTTCTACCAACTGATGGCTGCTGTTGCTCCCCCAAACATAGACCTCACAGGTCTCCGAGACAATGGGTGCATCTCCAGTCTGAATGTTATCTGGGCTAGCACATGTTCTTGAGTAGTCAGAAGCCATTCTGCAAACCTATCAAAATTAAAAATATGAAAAAAGCAATGAATATCCTCAATGGGCATTTTTATAAATATTCTCTGAAATAACTATTGACTTTCCTTCATAATACTCTCAGCTGCTCAAATAATCTAAGTATAACATATCTGGTCTTGAACACCAATGACTAGAGTATTTACTTCTGCAGAATAAACCACAAAAAGTTACTGTTAAGGCAGCAAAAATGGGGAGGCACAATCAATTCTTTTTTACCTAGATATTTTATTACATCTATAAGCAGTTGAAAAATGCCACTATTACTAATTCGATCACCTTTTCATACACTAGATGTTATCTTTATATGTATATCTTTCAAGAATTTTTATATACATGTTACCGTGGTTATATAAAAGAGCACCAAATGGTACAAAGGTAACATTAACATTTTCCCACGTGTCTACCCAATCTTTAAAACTGAGCCATGTGTAATGCAAAAATCACAATTTACTGCATCATTTTCCTTTAACTAGACATTAAGATTCTTTTCACTTGTCATGAGTTAAGAATATAGCTCTTTGAGGGATCGGCCCCAATCCCAACTACATGGGCAGCCCCCCATCCCAGCATAAGAATTCACTTCAGAGGACAGCACTGAAGCTATAGCTCAGGGAGAGGGGCATGTCTGATCAGAGCACACAGGAGCAAATGAAAGGGGAGGAACAGGGAGTGGAGCACATCCTGACCCACCAGCCCGAGGACGATATTCCTGCTCAGAGCAGCTAATGCACTGAGAGGACCATATGGCTGGCCCCACTATGAGACACGATGTCCCTCGCTGACCCATGGCCCTACAGGGGGCAACACTGAAAGCAGCGGGGGAATTGTGCCTGTTCTGACCCCACCACACTCAGGCAAAACACTAAGGGTGTGCAACAGAACAGCAAGGGGAACAGAGCAATGAAGTCCCCACGGAATACCAAAAATAGACTTTGGG